TACGAGGGGAAAAGGGGTTTTAAGGAAGGAAACTATTAAAGTACACTTTTGCATGATAATCCTGAAAAGAGGATGTAGCAATTTATGTAGCCTATTGTCTTCTTTGTATACCTGTCGTATTTGTTGATAAGTTCTGTTTGGTATATGGAAGGGGGCAATGAATGAGCTGTTATTTTTGGTGGAGATAATGGTAGTGGGCGATGAACTAAATTGTTTAGTTTTACTTTTATCTCGAGTTTAATGGTTAAATGATTGTGAGTAAGGCTTTGAATATTATGCTTTTGTATATCTTTGTGGATGTCGTGTCAGTATTTTTTAATAAGTTTAGTGCCCAATTATGATGTCCATAACCATCAAAAGATTGACTAAAAAGGGGAGGGGTGCTAAAAATGTAATCGAATCTCATCATAAAAGTACATTAGTGCCCAAAAGTTCTCGATATCGATTGTCTAATTTTGTAAGGAAATTTAGAGATAACGTTGTGGTTGGTGTTTGACCTGTTATTGTTGAAATGATAGGGTTTCTGGCAATGATAAGTAAGTGTCTGGTGAAATACCTATGTGTTCGTTGACTAAAATTGATTCGCCTCGGTAGAATGCGTGTGTCATCCAATGTGGGAGACGTTGTGTTGAAGTGGGGGGATTGAAACGATTTTCACGAATTTGTTCGGAGGTCAGTGTTGACCCTTAATAGTCCGATGAAAAATTTCGGAAATTTTCTTGGGAAATTGCCTGTAGTGATGGGGGTACTTCGGATTGTGTTAGTAGAAAGATTCAAAGGGGTCGAAGATGGTGATGAAGGTATAATAAAAACAAACTTTAGATATTACAAGTTTTCGATTTCTTTGAGGATGAATAATTTGTTTGTAGATGTTAGATTTTGATTTTGGATTGGTTGTCTAGTTGCGTTAAGATCTGGTTGAAGTGAGGGGAGGATGTTATATGCTGGTTAGTATTGTCGTCCACATAGGCTTGCTTGGCGAATAGCTGCTATTAAAGGTTCGGATCATGCTGCGTGTCGTTCTGCAAATGTATAGGGATTTTTTGCAAATGAAATTATTTGGATTGAGTTGTTTGAATAGATGATAGTGCTGTTGGGAGGTCTTGAGATGTAGTAGTTGGTGGTATTGTTTAGTGGGTTGTTGATTTGCAGTTTTGGATGTGTTTGATATATATGTTCCTTTATAAAATTAAACCTCTCTTTTTTATGTTTATTGTATTCATCTAAAGAAATGGTTAGAAGAAAGGCTGTTAATGCGAACGGAATACTTGCCTTTTTTTATTCATTTGCAAATTGTGAGAAATTAGGGAGACAGAAAAGCGAGAAAAATTATTAAAAAAACGAAAAAATTAATCTTGTTAATAAATGTCGTAGCATTTGAAGAGTTGTGAAATTTCCTTTCTGAGAGTATGGCCAATGATTTTTGCCCAATTGTGGTAGGTTTTTTAAGAGAGTAGAAAATTATGAATATCCTGCAAAAAATAAAAAAAGAAGGATTGTTATTTCAAGAGTGTCGATGATGAAAAAATATGGAAAAGTGCCGCAAAAATTGAAAAATGTGTTGAAATGAATATTCAATATATTTTGAACTGAAATTGAGAGAAGCATTTGAAAAAAGATTTGTTTCGTCGAAGTATTTTTTAGTTTTTTTTGGGTTGGAAGTAAAGTGTGGTTGGCTGTTCATTGATTGTTGACAAGTGGGTTTTATATGGAGAGTTTTGGTGAAGTAAAATCCGAGGTTTGGTAATGAACTTCGTAGTGTTGTTTTTCTTTATTAGACGTTTAGAAATTTTTTGGGCGGTATCATGTCTGTAGGCTAAATGATCATGTCGAACTCGGTCTTCGTGCTTATTTGATTTTTCTCTTTTGGGGAAAAGTGCGGTATAAGTTGAGAGAATTTTGTTGATTTTTGTACTGAGTGACAGGAGAGGGCTGTAGCTTTTGTTATAGGTAATTTTTATAAGGGTATCGCTTATTTTCGACCTGGAGGTCTTCTAGCTATATTTTTATACTTATTTGAAGTTAGAAGTTTGTCGGCTAATGATAATGGTGTTGAAATGGGGTGATGTTTGAATCTATTTTAATTGGCTGAAATTGAACTAGTTAGTTCAGAATTGAGAGTTAAAGAATCTTCGAGAACATATTTCACAGTAGATTAAATATGCCTCAATTAATCAGGGGAGATTCTGAAATTTTTTTTCTTCATTAATTCAAATTATGGGATAAAATTTTCATAATCTTTCCTTGGACGGTTTCCGACACACGTTGATTGGCGTTGCTGTGATTTTTCTTTTGTTTCTGGTACTGAAGTTTTTCTTTTAGCTTACAATTATTTCTTCGTTTTTCTGTTACTCGTTATTCAGAATTTTTGGTGCTTTCTTTCTGAGTATTTTCAAGGATTTTTTCTATGCCTATCGGGTAAAATTAATGGTTGATTGAAATTTTTCGTTTTTTGCTGTTGTTATTTTCTGCGGCATTTTCAACTAAATTTAGTCCTGTAAAGGAGTTTAATTGTGTTAATTCGCAAAGGGCGTGCGTACAATTTTTGATAATATGGTAAGAGATTGTTTCTTTGATGATTGTTTTCTTTTTTATTGGGGTCAATAAAATTATATGTAACGCCTGGGGGTTTTTCAATTAATTGAAATTGTCATTTTTGGATACTTTTTAAGTTTTTAAATATTCGTTTCTAGTTTACAAAATTTGGGAACAAGGCACTTGTTTTTATGTTTATTTAGGATGCTGCTGTAAAACGTGAAATTAATTGGGTTTGAACATTTGGTTTTTGTAATTGTTTTTTAGTAATTTTTTGATAAATTTCGTTATGTTAGTAATCTCGGTTTAAAATCTCTTTGTATGTGTTTCAGAGGCTATTTCTGAGTATTGTGGGTGTTGAAAATGATCTTCATCATGTGTATGAAGTGATAAATTGTAGCAATTTGAACATTTTGAAGAATGACAAAAACTTGTGCAATTTTTGAGGAGTTTGCTGTGAACATTATGTCGTGCAATTTTCGAGGAGTTTGTTGTGAACATTATGTCGTATGTTGAAATTTTAGGAGTTGATGGTATTTGAGAATTATATGCTAATGGTAATAAATTTACTTCGGTTGAGCATTCGGTTTATTTTCTATCACTTCCATCTATAATACATCGGAGATAGTCTTGTAACGAACGATTCATGCCTTCTACTAAGCCATTTGTCCCTGGGGCAAGAGATGTTCGGTGCTTATGTGTGATGTTATGATTTTATAAAGACGACATAACGTTACGATTTCTGTGACAAAGACTTCTGAAAATGCAATTTGTCCCAACCAGTGTTCGTAAAGCGTTGTTTAGGCATATTTAGCAATAAAATGAGGTACAGGGTTGAGTGCTACATAACAAGTAAATGCATCAAAAATTACCATTATATACGAAGTTATTTCTGAAGAACGTGATATAGTCCCTTTTGCGTCAATTTTTTTTTCGAGTTTGAAATAGAGATTTTGTTCGTTGCAGTCTTGTTTTTCTGCTGGTTGTTTCTGGTGGGAAAATGGCTTAGTTATTTGACATGTTGGAAAATAAAATTTTTGATTAAAACTTGAATATGTTTTTTCTGAACCTGCATGTCTTTTCGTATGTAGGGAATTTAAACTATGAAATGCGATTGTAACCAGGCTTAAAGATATGAAGTGTACTTTTGTTTCTGGAATATGATATTTCAAAATATCAGAGTTTTCGGTGATTGTTGTATTGTTTACGATTCGAAAATATCTAAGAAGTGTTTTTTTTGCGGTTTCAGCTTTCACTGTTTTTTTCTCCATTTATGCCAAGGTTTAAAATGTCTAATGACGGGGTATTGGTTTTGGTAGTTTCGTAATAATTCCAGTGACAGTTTTTCTGTGATTGAAAGAAACATATTTTAATTTCGTTTTTCGAGATAGGTATATTATCTAGGGTTTTTTGCAAAATAAAAATTCTAATAATTGCATATTTTGAATTAAGGTGAGGAGGTCCTAACAGGTTTATGCTATCTGTTGAGTTTTCCTTTTCTATTAAAGGGAAAAAAACATTCCTATGTATCTGTTGTTTAGATGTTTTTGTTGTGTAATGTTTTTGATCCATGATGAGTATGGTATTTGTTTAATTGAGTGTTTTACTAACAAATCTACTTTATAGTGGTAATTTTGACCATCGAGATTTAGTGGAAAAGAGTTTCAAATTGTTTCTCTCTGTAGTCTCAGGGTGGTTTTTCATGCGTACTTGAATTCTAGTCGTGGTGATGTTTCGTCTTTTGCAAGGAAGAATTTTATGTCTTGTAGTAATTCTATGGTTGTTTTTCCTAACAGTAATTCAGGTTGTGTTTTTCGAATACGTGTATCTGGCAAAACATTATTTTTTCTGCTGTCCAAACTACATGTAGGTTTGCAATTTATTCTGGGTGAGTTGAAATCTACAAACTCTATATTTGGGATTTGGTTTTTTTTTTCGTAAGAAAAAATTATTGGTTTTCGGTGTGCGAATAGAACTGTTGGAAGTTTTTATCCAAGGATTAAAAATTAATATTCTGTGAGTACATATATTATGCCTATATGTTCTCTCATAAGTGTAGAGAGTCTCAGTTCCGCCTGTGCAAAAAGTCTTGAAGTTGCTGATATAAGGCTCATTTTGTTTGTACCTTTATGTTATTGGAAGAGTGATGCGACAATTCGAAAGTTTGAGGCGTCACACATGGCTAGAGTGTTGATATGATTCTGGAATTATGTTTGAATTTTGTTCTGTGAAATGAAGTTTTTTTTATGTTGTATAAAGTAATGTAGTTCATTTCGGAAGCTGTCAATCAAATGTCCACTCTCGGTGCTAGACTAATTGATTAGCAGGTGTTTGTCCGTGGAACAGTCTGTCACCCTTGGATACTTTTCTCAACCACTCTCTATGCTAACTTTGTAAGATTAAGTTGACTATCTCTTATATTGGAATTAACAATTAGACGACTATCCTTTTACCCTTTTCAACAGGGCGCAGCCAGCAGTCTCAGGTGGGGGAAAGAATCCACTGGGCATCACGGAATTCTGGCCAGCGAAATGCACGGAACCGCCAATGATGTGGGAATTTTGGATTAACAGATTCCAATGGGGAATAGTGGCTAAGCACGCAATAAACCCGAAGAACTATTAGTACGCCACGACTCTCACAGCCGCCCAAGTTACTGCTTTGCCCAAGGAAGTAGACGGAAAAAATCGACTGGAATCGGAACAAGTACTAATTTCAAATCTGTATTTGTGCCTGGGGGAAAAAAGGGCAGGATGAACTTCACAAAAGACGACCGCATCTGGATCTCTCGACCATTCGTTACCCACGAATGATGGACGCACTGGAACCGGAATTTAAGCATACCAACTTCTTTCTCGAAAGCAGTTTATCAATGAACGTTTGGAGCAATTCCATTCCGTACTAAGTGGATTGGCGGCGCGGTGCAACTTTGGATTACTAGAGGACCGGATACTAAGAGACGTGTTCATTGTCAACATGAATAACCGTGAAGCACAAAAGGAACTATGCAGGTCGACGAAAACACCTGAGGAGGTTTACCGGATAGCTCTCTCGTACGAGAGGGGAAACAAGTATGCTTCATCCTATGTTGCCACGGGATCAGTGGGGGCCCAAGGATCGACCTCAGGAGGCGGAGGGATCCAGATAAAATCGGAACCAGTCGGAATAATCCGTGGAGGTTATCGGAACAATCGTGCAAGGGGCCGGGGCTCTTACCAAGGGCGAGGATCGAATCGAGGTAAAAACTGTCCCAATAACAATAAATGCTATAACTGCGATCAACAAAACTTCACCAGAGAACATTTGGACAGATGCCCCGCAAAAGAAGTTACATGCAAATTTTGCCATAAAAATGGCCATTTAGAATGTACCTGTAGGGGGAAGCGTGGAAACCAGCGGGGACAGGGAGCCGTAGGAATGATACGGGAGAATGTTGACGATGGTCATCTGGAAAATTTGGCGGATGAAGAAGCGTCACAACATGCAAGTTCTATTGGATGGGTCAATAAAAATCCAGTGGTGCACTCGTGGGACTAGAGCAGCTCAGACAGGGACTACATGGTAATGGCGATAAAACATAAAAGAGTCAGGGAATTGAAAGTTGCTGGGGCACAATTGCCGATTAAAGTCAATGGGAAACCCACTCGAGTGTGGATCGATAGCGGGTCTCCAATTTCGATCTTCACCATTGGGGAATTGCGGAAGACTTTGGGAACGTCAGGAGTAAAATTGGATAATCTTACGGAGGAGGGCAATGCTTTTCGGGATTATGGAAACAATCCACTACAGATGATTGGAACAATGGCGGTAACCATACAATCAAACGGCTGGAAGATACACGCGAGGATAAAAGTAATCCGAGGGAACCGACCCTCAATACATGGACGAGATTTGATGCCCCAATTAGGACTTCAGTTGGTGCAACAATCACCAGGGGAACAGATAATGTCCATTGGAGAAGGAAACCAGGACGCACTGGAACCAGGGGGAGAGATGGATTCCTGGCAAACCTAATTCAGTAAGCAGTTTTCAAACCTTTTTAGCAGGGTAGGGAAAATAAGAAACTACAAAGTGCAAGCAGAATTTTTTGAAAACCTCACCCCAGTAAAACAGAAGGGGCATCGAGTTCCAATTTCGTTACAAGAAAAAGGGGATGCTGAAATTGATAAATTATTGCAACAGGGTCATATCGAAAAACTAACAGAATGCTCGGACAAATATTTTGTGTCCCCAATAGTAATAACAGTAAAAAAAAAGATGGGTCCGTGAAACTGGCACTCGAGTCGAGGGAATTAAATAAACAAGTGCATAAGAATAAATACCAAATGCCAAATATCGAGGAACTAATGGACACAGTTGGGCAAACGATTAGTGAAAAAAAAACAAGGAGACATATATTTCACCACAATGGATTCAACATACGCATATGGCCAATTGCCGCTAAACGCTGAAACGAGCGTACAATGCAATTTTTCTCTCATTGGAGGCCGCTCGATAGGTACGTACCGGTTCAAGACCGGATGCTATGGTCTAACTACAATGCCCGCGGAGTTCCAACGCGCAATGGATTGCATACTCGCCGAATACCCGCAGGCGCACGCGTTCATCGACGATATTTTGGTTGTAACCAAGGGAACTGCGATGGACCATATAGCGACGGTAGAGAAAATTTTAAAGAAACTGGATCGTGAAAATATGTCCCCAAAAATTAACAAAATGTAAATTCACCCAACGAGAACGCGAATGGCTAGGTCATAAAATAACATCGACTGGAATAACTCCATTGGTTAGGAAAACAGAACCGATAGAGGCGCTATTGCCGCCGCGGACTTTGTCGCAATTAAAATTGTTCATGGGGTCAATACACAGTCTGCACAAGTATCTACCGGCGTTAGCCGAATCATCTGCGCCGCTGCGACCCCTACTAAGCAAAAGCAATGAATACATTTGGACACCTGAATGCCAGAACGCGTTCAAAAATCTTAAGAAACAAGTTTCGAACATTGTTGAACTACGGCACTTTGATATCCACAAGGACATTCGTATAGTGTGCGATGCAAGCCATAACGGACTCGGCGCGGTGTTGGAACAGTTAGGACCAGAAGGGTGGCGCCCAATCTCGTTTGCCTCGCGATATCTTAACGAAGCGGAAAAGAAATATTCAACAAACGAATTGGAGATGTTCGCAGTTGTGTGGGGGGCTGAATACTTTCGAAATTACATACTGGGCCGAAATTTTTTGATCGTTACCGACCATAAAGCTCTAATATCCCTTTTGAATGGTAATAATAAGAAAAATAAAACGATGTTTAGCCGCTTAACGCGCTGGTTAGATCGACTAATTCCCTTTGATTTTCGAATTGAACATAAACCAGGGGCTAAAATTGGATTGGCGGACTACTTATCACGTCATCCAAGTAGAGAAGCAACGCCAATTAGTACGTATAATAATATGTTTACGGTGGCAAAGATCAACCTAATTTGCACCGCTCTTGGTTTTAATACATCCAAGGGACAAAATAAATCCAAGGGACCAATTTGTATAGCGGAAAAGAAGCAATCTATAAATAGACTGGAGGTTTCGTCGCGAAATTAATCGGTAGAGGGCGGAAAAACATGTAAGCGGAAATCAACCAATCAGATTCAAACACGTGGTTTGAACCGACGGCTTCGCGAAATACGCACTGGATTAGTTGGGGCTATTATTAAATCAGAAAAAAGTTGTTCAAAATTGCTAAATTTTAATTCTCAAATTTCAACATCAAAAATCAAAATGGATCGAAGCATGCGTAAATGGCAGAAATTCCTTCTAGAACATCCAAGTTTGAATAGCAGTAGCGACGAAAATGAAGAATTGCCCCCAAATGTATCACTAGGGGCCGTTACCAAAGAAACAAGATCAATTCGCACGAAGACAACTCTCTCGTTACCCTCGGCATTCAAAGGAGAAACAGTACCACCCGTGGACCCGAATCTATTATATATGTCAATTATCCCTCGGAATTGCAAAATCGTTAACAAAGTTACTTCATTACCTGATCTGTTTAATTTAAAGTTCATAGAATCGAATATGTATCTGACCCCCGGCTGAGCGCTATTCGCGATCTCATTGTTACACAAGATCCTGAAATGCATAAAAAAATCAGTGAAATGAACGGCTATTATGCTCAATTTGTTAATGAATTTTCGGTGAAGGAAAACGTAGTTTGGATGGATGAAAAATTAGTAATTCCTATTAACCTTCAATCAGCAATTAAAAATCGAATCCATGCATATCACCACGGAAAAACAAATATGTTCGATGCAGCCAAAGATGTCTGGTACCCTTATCTTTACTGCTCAGTAGCTTACATTGCCGAAGGGTGTCCTGAATGTACCGCAGCTGGTAAGAATTTAAAAACCATACTAAAGAAAAACCAACTTGGAACTGTACCGGAACCAAAAGAACCAAATGAATCAGTCCAATTACATTTTTGGGGCCACATCAATTACTTAAATGAATCCCGAAAATATGTATTAGTGGCGGTCGACCGGTTTTCTCGTTGGCCATCGGCAATGGTATGTGGGAATAATCGGTCAGATAAGATATTGAAGTTCTTGAAGTGCTATATAACAAATCATGGGGTGCCACGGAAAATTCACGTTGATCAGGGAACTAGTTTCATGTCAAACGAGATTAAAGCTTTTTGTAATGGGGAGGGCATTGAAATCATTAAATCGCCAGTAAACGACCATCGAGCAACTGGGTGCGTCGAGCGTACCACTGGCAGTCTTAAGAATTCTATCCTTACCTTCGCTCAAGAAAAGAATCCCGAACCCTTGGAGAAAATGGTTGAACGGGCCCTTGGTGCTCTCAGATTCTCGAAGAATTCAACACTAAAAATCTCTCCTTTTGAAGCGCACCATGGTAGAGAATCGAACACAGTTTTACGAAACCTTACTAAAAAGCCATCTCTTCAAAATCTGGATTGGTCACGGGTTATAACAACGAAAAATGCTTGTTTAGATGTCTCCGATCCAAATGCGCAGAACATGCCCCATCCAGCTGATACAAACTGGAGTGTAAGATCAGACCTCGCATATGATATCAACAACAGGACCCATGCACGACGACTGACAGAGGACCAATCCGCCAATCAGCACGACGAACCGTCAATACTTAAAGCTGTAAACTCCAGTGGACAACCAGGGCCATTTGGATTGTTGTTCCAGCGAACTGGGAACAGGAACTTAAAAAGGTATAAACAACTTCACTCTAAAGTAAGATCCAAGAGTACGCATACACTAACCTTAGATAATGGGGTTGTGCTTAGGAAATCGGGAGTGGCCACAAAGCCCAAACCAAAGAAGTCGAAAGTCGCAGCTAAATCCGTATTGCCGGTATCATCGAGTGAAGTGAAAAAGCAAGCAGCTCACCCTGGGTTACCACCGCCGACTCCGCGTGAATTTAAGGAACGATCGACAAAACGAATTGCGAACAAACAACGGGGAAGACTCGGGCGCCAATTTGAGAATAGTGGCTCTGAATCGGAAGACAGCGAAGAATTGCCGATTATCTCGGTAAAACGGG